GTAGCTGTTAGATCCGTGGGGTCCAACACACTGTCCACTAGCCACGTGTGGTTATTTAGCCGGTGGAGCGCGGCTACTTTGCGACAACGGTAGCCACTAAGAACTGGTTGGACGCCACGGCGTTAGATTTAGGAACCGGGAGCCGGGAGCCCTGCGTTCTGTGCCAGGCTCTCCTGGGTGTCTGTCACCTCCCTGTTCTCCATCCAGTGGCTCTCCCTGCAGCACGGGCGGGCGGGGTCGGAGCATTCTCGAGGCCCGTGGGAGTCTTTCCATTGACGTCCTTGCGCGTTGGCACGAGCCCCTTGAGAGCCGCGAGGAGGGGGCTGGCACCAGAGTTTATTTGCAGTGTGTGTGTCGGAGTCGCTCCAGAGGGACGAGCTGTTCTGGGCTGATTGTGGATCCCCCCCAAGTGCCCAGGACTTCAGGAGAGAGCCTTCCTCGCAAACGAAGGAGGGAATGAATAAATAAAGTAGGTGGAGAAATCAGGAGGCGGAGGCTTGTCCCAAGGGTCAAGCCTTCATTGTGCTGGCGATATTACCCAGTTAGTCGGGATTGTACTGTACAATTCAGACACTGCAGGTTTCTAATCTGCTTATTTATAATTCAAAAGCTTGCCCATATATTAATGAACCCTTAATGAGCTGTTGAAAATGCCTGAATTAGAGTCAGATTATTAAACTCAAACGGCCCCTGTAATCATACCATTTGAGTGGGCTTTAGGTACTTTTCATATCTGCAGCTTTGTATTGTGAAGAAGACGGGTTTATGCGAAGAAAGCTTTGTAATAATTTTGACCTGCAATTTATTTATTGGCCTCTGAATGCAGCAGTCTATGCAGATGCTCTCGTCTATTATCTGTGGGGGCAGGTGCACAGCATGTCGAAAGACAGCTAATTAGGATTTGCTGAAAGATATGCTAAAACTGTGGTCTTCTAACAAAGCCAAGTTCATTGTTAAACAATGTTTTAGTGTCTGTTTATGTGATTTGTCTGAAATCGGCGATACTGAAAGGGATGGTGAGAAGCAGATTAAAATCGGAAGCAAACATGCTTTTTGTGAACCTTGTAATGCTCCACGGTCACATTTTTAAACTTTAGACGGACCCAGATGTGTGTGGGAAGATGGTGCTGTGCATAGTATTACCAGGAGCGTTCCTCAGGGAAGGTGATTGTCCCATTTGACCTGGGCCAGGCGAGGCCTCTGGTGACGTTTAGTGTCCACTTCAGGCATGGTGGGGACAAACTGGGGAGTGTCCAGAGGAGAGCTGGGGGGACATGATAACACGTTACCAGCTGTTCTAGAGAAGACGATGTTCTTTGTGTCTGCTGGGTGCAGGACAAGGAGCAATGGGTTTAACCTTCAGCAAGGGAGATTTTGGTTTGATATTTGGCATAACTTCCTAACTCTAGGGCCAGTTAAGGGCTGGAACAGGTGGCCAAGGGAGGCTATGGACTCCCTTTCATTGGAGTTTTTTAAGATGCGGATGGACAAACACCTGTTGGGGATGGCCTACGCAGGACTTGAGTTCTTGAGATACCTTCCAGCCCTGCAGTTCTATGATTTTACATGACGGGGACTCGCAGAATGCTGTAAAACTCACCACGTCTAGCTGCCATCTTCCCATGAAGGTATTAGCCTTTTGGTCCGTGCACGGCTCGGTTATTACGGTCTCATGGAGACCCTCACGCTGCCTGTGCCATTGGTCCATCTGGGCTTGTTCTGGAAGTGATGTATTGTTGTGTTCTTTCTAGTTGGCTCTGTACCTGATTCCACCATGCACTGAAAGGTCAGTGAGCTAAACAGTAATAAACTCAGAGCCTGATATAGTGAGGAATAAAAAAAGGAGACAATGCCCAGAGTCTGAGCTTCTATGTCAGCAACTCCATAGATTGTCATTGTAGTCAAACGGGGAGTGAGGTATGAAGGTGGGAACACATGTATGTCCGGTGGACATAGTGGCGAGTTTTCTCCTTCCTAACGAATCCAGGAAGTATTCTGGATCTTTCTTATCAGAGTAACTTCCCTAGGTGAGAGGGGGACTAGTCGGATGGGTGGTAACGCCAGTGTTTCTCAACCGAGAGGTTACACAGAATACAAAGATTTTCCTGCTTCCCCCCCCAGGAAAACAAACGCCTATTTATTATGTGTTGATTGGATGCGTATAATTCACCAAGTAACTAGGGAGGAGTAACACATGTATCCCCACACACAAGGTTAACTCTTGTAGGAGTTAGTTAATTAACTGGTGGCTTTGCTGTTCACATGAATGATGGACCTCACTCAGGAGCAAAATAAATGCTAGATTGCGGCATGATACCTCCCTGTGTCTCCCATTTCTTGTTGTGTTGTCAGACAGCCCCTCTCTGGCTGCTTGCAAACCCGCTTTGGAATTAGACGGGCTACTTCCCACTAGGAGGAAAACAAGATGCCACTCCCAGCATTACCTGGGCTGTAACGGGAAGTGAGGGCTGGCTCTGGGAAGTTCTCATTGTTGTGTCTGTTGCATTCCTTCTTCTTGTGCTGTGGGGGCCTCTCTTTCAGCCATCGGCTCTTTCCCCTCCTTCCCGCTGGTCTCCTTTTGCATTTCAAACCAGGGAGCACTGTCTCCTCTTAGGCGTGTTGCTACAGGCGGCTAAGTAACTGTGTTAGCCTCAGTGTAGGAACGCACGGTTGTTTGGTGGAGACATTTTGGCCCTGTGGCCCATACAACGACCAGGAAGCCAGAGGAGCAAAGAATTTGCCCCCGTGTCTGTAACTGTCAGGGGAGATGAGGAAAAGCGCTGTTGAAATCTCTGATGGTGAATAATGACCGTGATAGGCCGTAAGACTCAACAGCCACGGGGGGGAAAAAGACAGGAAAAAGAAACTGACGTGAGACAAAGAACAAAGAAATAATAGGAATGAGCATGTAGATGGGAAAATTAAAAATGTGAACTGGATGGGAATAGAAAACCAGAATGCTGTTAAAAAATATCGAAGGCCAGGCTGGCGGGGAGAAAGGGAAAAGAAAACAAAGAGGACTATGGGACCGTCACCTCAGCGGAGAAAAATTTCACTGTATGAATCAGACAAAAACTACCCAAAGAAAATTAGTTTCTCTCTTGTCTTTCCTCTGGTCTCTTTGACCTGTTGCACTTGCTTTTCCTGACATTTGCCCGCATAACAAAGCCTGCCAGATCATAGTCCCAAGAGACAGTCGACAGTGGGAGCGAGGCTGAGCTGGGAGCACTGGGTGCCAATTGTCCACGGATGGGTAAATGCCAGGATGAGAGACAGAGCTGTCCGAGGGGCTGTTTCAGGGTGGTTCTACCCACTCTGGTCTCAGTGCTAACTTTCGGGCTCCGTCAGTGAGCCCGGGATAATAATACGTTATATTTTCAAACCTAGTTCAACCACCGAACGGGCAACAGAAATCATTTAAAATGACAACGAGACATTTTTATTATCCCAATTAAATTATATGGAATTATATTTTTAAACGAAGGTGACAGGTTTAAAATGTGTGTCTTAGTGGTGGTGCCACCATAGGCCTGGAAGGTGGGCCAAGAAGGGGTCGTGCTGTGGCATATGTAGAGTTCAAGACATCATGGAATCAAATCTGTGCCTGAATGAGTGTGCGCAGCGCTGAGGCCAGCTTAGAAAACAGCCCTGCCTGTATTCAGTGGCACACTTGGCAGCGTCTGGATGTTACTGTCATGTACACCGCACTCTACACAGAGTGTGCACCACTGTGTGTAACTAAGAACAGGCGCAGACACAGACGGCGGAACCAGAATGCAAACATGCGAGGTGCCAACTTCCTACCCACTGGGATCCTGGCTAACTAGTGTGTGAATACCTGGTTTTAAACAGATTTAAAGAGGTTAATTGGGCTGGGAGATCGCGGGTTGTGTTACAGCTTTAATGGAACTGCGGGTTCAAGGAGCGGTGGCTCTAGTGATTTTTGTACGAGCGTAATTGTTTTTAAGCTCGGTCGCTGGCATTGTGGATCTCGTCTTGGCAGAGAGCCTGCATGACCCGATTAAACCTACAAATTGTCAGCCTTGATCTGGAGCACTCAGATGAGAGTGCCGACTGGGCCTCATTCTGGATACTCTCGATTAAAAACAGCAATTAGGTTCAAAGGGCTCCCACCAACATGCTGTAACAGAGCCGGCAATTTCAAACGTCTCTCTGCGTCCCACTGCTGTTAAATGTCATGGGCTGCATAAACCTTCGCTATGGGGCTTGGCTCAGCATTGGAGGATGACCTCCTTCCAGGTCTATTTGGTTGACTCCAGTGGGATCTATAGGACCAATTTACTGTTACGCAGAGGTGACAGTGGGGGTGCCCTGGGGGCGGCTCCGGCAGGAGCTGGCTGAGCTGCGGCAAACGCCAGCAGGGAGGTATTGTGAGAACAGGCAGGGCCCCGGGGAGCAGTAGGACAGGACCGTAAGAGATGTGAAGTTACTTTCACTCTTACGAGCAAGTCCCGTGGAGCTCTATGCAGAATCCGCCCCTTCCGCAGACACGTCAAGGTCACAATTCACATCCGGTAGTGGGGACCGATCTCCACCTCCGACAGATGCGCCGTACACGCTTACTCCTCCCCTCTGGTTTCCTGTCCGCACTGCTGAGTAAATAGAGCTCGGATTTAGGGAGGAAAGATCAAGAAAAAAGTTGTGATTCCTGTGGCATTTTCAACGAAGAGTTAAAAACCTCCTGTACCACGTCCCTCCTCCTCTGTGGGCTGTGTCAGTTCTCCAGGCCTTTCCCAGGAGGCGGGGGAAGCTTGGACCTCCTAGGCCAGGGCGGTGGGGGACAGAGTCATTATCTGCCCTCAGTGCCGGGAGTGGGGTGGGGGTGTCAGTGTCTCTCCCAGCAGCGAATGCTCCTAGAAAGTGGTACAAGGACGGCTCCAGCCTGCTCCCAGGAGTGGGGCTGGCTGTAGGCCAGAGCCTGCCAGGACACGGCAAATACTCACTGTGGTTTCTCTCTCTGTCTCTCTCTTTACCCAAAGGTCTGAGCATCCGAGGAGCCCAGGAAGAAGACCCCCCCGACCCCCAGCTAATGAGATTGGACAATATGCTTCTGGCCGAAGGGGGCCCCCCCCCCCCCCCGCCCCCCCCCGCCTCTGCAGGGTCCTCAGATAATTCTATCGAACACTCAGACTACAGAGCCAAATTGACCCAGATCAGACAAATCTATCACACAGAGCTGGAGAAGTATGAACAGGTCAGACATGGCGCTCCCAGCCCTCCCTCTGTGCGCCGGCTGCCCCTTGCCTCTGCACCGCTGCTAACGGGGCCCGTTTCTCTCCGGAGCTGAACGATTGCCTCTCCCCTCCCTCTTCCTTGTGCTTCAAGAGCTGGGTGGGCGGTGAAAGGGCTGATGTGGGGGGAGGAGATCCCTGCAAGGGGCAGGCTGCTGGCTTGCCTGGTTCTTAGCTATTCTTCCCCCCCTGGCTTGGGAGCAGCCAGCTGCCTGCCACTGAAACTGGCTTGACCCCGGACACTGCTCGGCCGGGCGAGCCGGCTGCCCGCCACTGAAACCGGCCTGCCCCCGGACACTGCCCGGCCGGGCGAGCTGGCTGCCTGCCACTGAAACTGGCTTGACCCCGGACACTGCTCGGCCGGGCGAGCCGGCTGCCCGCCACTGAAACCGGCCTGCCCCCGGACACTGCCCGGCCGGGCGAGCTGGCTGCCTGCCACTGAAACTGGCTTGACCCCGGACACTGCTCGGCCGGGCGAGCCGGCTGCCCGCCACTGAAACCGGCCTGCCCCCGGACACTGCCCGGCCGGGCGAGCTGGCTGCCTGCCACTGAAACTGGCTTGACCCCGGACACTGCTCGGCCGGGCGAGCCGGCTGCCCGCCACTGAAACCGGCCTGCCCCCGGACACTGCCCGGCCGGGCGAGCTGGCTGCCTGCCACTGAAACTGGCTTGACCCCGGACACTGCTCGGCCGGGCGAGCCGGCTGCCCGCCACTGAAACCGGCCTGCCCCCGGACACTGCCCGGCCGGGCGAGCTGGCTGCCTGCCACTGAAACTGGCTTGACCCCGGACACTGCTCGGCCGGGCGAGCCGGCTGCCCGCCACTGAAACCGGCCTGCCCCCGGACACTGCCCGGCCGGGCGAGCTGGCTGCCTGCCACTGAAACTGGCTTGACCCCGGACACTGCTCGGCCGGGCGAGCCGGCTGCCCGCCACTGAAACCGGCCTGCCCCCGGACACTGCCCGGCCGGGCGAGCTGGCTGCCTGCCACTGAAACTGGCTTGACCCCGGACACTGCTCGGCCGGGCGAGCCGGCTGCCCGCCACTGAAACCGGCCTGCCCCCGGACACTGCCCGGTCGGCTCTGGGGGTGTGTCCACGCAGGGATAACAACCCGCAGCTGGCCCCGGGAGGAGACTCCAGATCTCAGGCTCCACCCTGAGCCCAAAGGGCTGCCCAGCGATTTTAGCCCCTCAGCCAGAACCCCGAGTGAGCTGACCTGGTCACAGGGCTCTTTGAAAGGGGAGGGTTGCATAGTGGCGAGAGCCCCATGGCAAGCCTGTGACGAGCCCTGGTGACATCAGTGCTTCCGTGACATGCTGCCAGGCGCCGCAGCCCTTGCCACGTTCTCCGCTCTCGCGGGCCCGGCCGGGGAGGTAGCAGGTGCGGCTCTGCCTCTGGGGTGGGCGGGCAGGCGCTGGAGGGGTGACTAGTCCTGAATGGCCATCCCGTGGCTTCTTCGCGGGATTTAGGGCGTTCGCTGGAGTGTGCTGGCGATTCGCTTCTGCCTTCCTGAATCCTGCCTGGCGTGAATCCAGCTTCCACCCTGGCGAGGGAGATGCTGCGCGGTGACGTACGCGGGCTGCATTTCCGATGAGAACGTAGCATCCGTAACGAGAAGGAATATGCTAGTTAAGTTGGTGGGGAAGCCTGTGAGGCTGGACATTTGCTCTCGGTACTTTTCCAGGATGTCACGAACCCCCTGCAGATGCTCAGGACTGGGGGTTCCTCTCAGCAGTGGGGGATGTGCTGCGCTCGTGGGTTTCATGGGCACCTTTAGAAGCTGCAGACTGCTCCCGGGCAGAGCAGCGTGGCAGGGAACACGCACTGACCACAGCCTGCGGAGCCTCCCGGCGCGCGATCCTCTGGATTTCTCCACTCGACAGCTGTGCCTGCAAGGAGCCGCCAGGGCGGCGGGGCAGGAGAAGACATGAGTGAGAGTCCCCCCCTTGCTCTGTCCAGCCTCAGGAGGCGGCGTCACTTCTCCCTCCCAGAGGGGCCTGGTACGCTTAACAGCCCTCAACCTAGTGAGCTCAGCTAATTGGCTGGGGGTTTTCTGCGCCGAAGACGGGGACGTTCTGTGCTCGCCCCAGTGTATTACTGGGAAGCGTCCATCTGAGCAACATGAAACCACAGCCGAGGCCATCGGGCAGCAGGGCAAGTCACAGCTCAGGCTGGGTGCTTGGCTGCTCGGCGGGGGCTTAGTCATGGGTGGGGGGCCTGCCGGGGGCCTGGCTTCGGGGTGCTCATACCCTGCCTTTGCACCCACTGCCGGCGCTGCTGGGGCGGGTCCCTTGGTCTCCAGGCTCTCGGGCTAGTGAAGTTCCTGCTCGCTGGAAGTCATTAACCAAGAACATGGAATGGAATTGGTGCGTGGAGGCTCCCGGGAAGGTTTCGGCTGCCCGGGCCACCTGCTGACGTGCCGTGATCCGCCCTGGTGGACACTGGTGGGGCAACGGGCAGACAGCCCGGCCGGCCCTGCTTTTTGTGAGCGCATGGCCTGACCAGGCAGCACAGCCCTGGCCCGGAGCCTGACCTGTTCTGGGTCCTTTGCCAGCTGCTGCGCTGGGGCAGTTGGCATCTCCTGCTAAGCGTGGACCTGGCGTGTTGTTTTCTGCACCCTCTGACCCCCAATCCGCTGCCGGCGCTGCTTGGGGAGGGTCGGTTTGTCTCCGGGCAGAGGCCCGGTCGGCGGCTCAGCTCCCGCAGGAGCACCCTTCAAAAGGCTCAGAAGCCGGCAGAAGTGTGGGTGCTCCTGGGAAATGGATCTGAGATGCTCCAGGCTCCCTTGCGTTGTCTCTAATGGCTTCCTGCCTCCCTTCCCCCGAGCAGTCTGTCTGCCGGGCCAGCGATCGCCCGGGGCCCCTCCACCAGGCCCCGGCTCTTACACACACACAGCCGCTGACTGGCAGCCTCCTGGCTT